CCTTGGGCCTTGGGCCCTCTTTTCATTCTCATTTGTCTTGATATACACTAGGTGTATATTTGATGTATACACCATGTATTTCGCTAATTCTCGAACTTCTGGACTTGTAATTTTATTCGAGCTCTGTATCTTTGCACTTCTCAATCTGTATTTTTGCATTTTGACCTGTATATCATATTTTCTGATGTATACAGTAGGTATATCAACCTGTTTTTGACTCTTTCCGAGCTTGAAAATTTAATTTTCAGCATTATCACGCTGCTTTCAACCAGTAAACCAATTTTGCTGACCCGGTAGTGAGGTTGACTCGAGTAAGAAGAGCAAATTTGGGCATTTACGGCCCAAATCGGAATGCAAACGGGAATAGAGAAGTCCGTGAGGACCCAAGGCAGATTCACACATAGAAAACAACAAAACAAGATAAGAATTAGTGATGGAGGACACTTTAAATCTATGCAATACAAACAAGATACATGAAAAAGAAATAAGACAAAATAGGCATATGATTAGTTCACTGCCAATGTTATGTAAATATGACAAAGGAATGCATACAATACTTAATGAACTTTCTTTTAACTTTTTGAACCTCAGTTAAGGCATAACTTTTTTTTTTTTTTACTCTTTTTCGAATCCCTCCTCTACTAACTATTTGAAGACGCGTGATAGATACTAAAATTATAAGAGAAGTAGATAAAGTTGCTGCCGTCTATTTACCGCCGCTGTCGTCTATTACCCGGTGGCTATGACCACCAATTCACCTATGCATCCCCTTTTGGGGATAGGACAAGCTGCCACAGAGAGTGATCCAGAACAAAGAAGGCAATATGCTGCTGTCTTGTGTCCCCCGACACGAATAGCCAAACCAATTCCGATGAAACCTATCGCATATTTACACGGGGAACCTAGAATCGTGTGGGAGGAGGAGGAAGTGGAGCATATGATCATTAAGGAGAATTTGGAATTTGCAGTAATAGGCAAATTTTCGTATGGATGACCGGAGATTCAGGAAATACGTAAATTGATTCTGAAACATTGCAAACTGAAGGGAGAATGCAAAATAGGGCTACTAAGCAATAGACATGTGCTCATTAGGGCTTCATGTTTGGAGGACTATGTCAATCTACTATCCAAACCTGCTTTTTATTTATTACATCGGGGATGGTCTTATCCAATGAGAACTTTGAAATGGGATCCAATGTTTGATCCGGAAAAAGAGACTTCAAGGGCGATTGCTTGGATATCCTTTCCAGCATTACCACCAAATTTTTTCGTTAAGGAGGCTGTTTTCTCACTGGCAGCTGCTGTGGGGAAACCTTTACAGGTAGATCTAGCTACAAAGAATCAAACTAGACCTAGTTGCGCAAGGGTTAAAGTGGAGGTGGACCTTTTGAGTGAATTTCCAAAGAGAATTAATGTGGGAGTGAGGAAACATTCTGGGGAAATCGTGGAGAAATGGATCCGTATTAAATATGATTATGTGCCAAAATATTGTAAGAACTGCAGTATTCAGGGGCATAATGAGCAAGAATGTTATGTGATACATCCAGAGTTATATCCAACAAGGGAGGGGAGTGGAGCTGACAATGTTATCAGAGAGAAGGGCGACAGAGAAAATAAGAGAAGGGATGATCATCATGTGGAAAGAAGGGAACCAGGACAAAGCGAGGAAGAAGATGCATTCAAGGAACAGAAAAAGAAAAAGGGGGGATGGGAAAGGAAAGCTGGGCAGCTGCAGGTTTGGAATCCAAAACACCTTCAACAGGGGAAAGAGGAAGAGATCATGGGGAACAAATTTGATGCATTGGGCAGTCTGAATGATGAAGAGGCTGACGAGAATACACAAGGGGATGGAGCTAGGGACAATAATATGGGAAACGAGATTGGATCAACAAAAAAATGGGTAAAGGAAGTTTTCAATGGAAAAGAAAGGATAGGCGAGAGCTGTAGCAATAAAAAAGTGGCGGATAAGGAGAGGTTGATTACAGAAGACAAAAGAAATGATATAGCAGTGTTAGATACTTCTCAAACAGTTGATAAGGATGATAATGAAGAGAAGGAGAAAGAGGATGAGGGTAGTAAGGTGGGGAATATAGGGGGAGGATCGGAAGAGATGGAGCATCAGGGCAGTTCCAATTTCGTTGAAGACGGAGTCAATGAGTTGCAGGACCTTACTGAGGACGAAAAACAGCGTCGAAGAGATACAGAGGAAGATGGAGAGGTGAATGAGAATATTGATACAATAGCAAGAGATGGAGATCTCTCACCAAGACAAATAAATAAGTTGAAGAGTGGAGTTAAAAAAACATATCTCCCTCTTCAAGTTAAAACAAGGAGCAATAAGGATACTTCTGGGGAAGTTTCTCAATGATTGGAAAAGCTCTATTTTGGAATATCAGGTCGGTTAGGTCTCAAAAGGCCTTCGATAGACTGATAGATCTAAATAGGAGACATCATTACAAATATATAGCTCTACTGGAACCTTTTCAAGGACCACATGAGTTAGAACAATATAAAAGGAGATTGGGATTTCAAAATGCTTATTGTAATTGTGCAGCCAAGATATGGATATTTTGGGATGATGATTGGACATGGGAGGTGGTAAGAGATAACATTCAACATGTCTCCATGAGGTTTGAAGCGGGAAATGTCAAATTCATGGTTACAGCTGTATATGCGAGATGCGATGCATTGGAAAGATTAGAGTTGTGGGAGGAAATGGAGGAATTAGCAGGAAATAATCAGATTCCATGGCTAGTAGGTGGGGATTTTAATGTTATTTTAAATGAAGAGGAGAAACAAGGGGGAAGAGAATTTACGTCCTATGAAGCGATGGATTTCAATCAGTGTATCAATAACTGTGCATTATCAGAGGTTAAGTCTTTTAGGAGTAAATTCACCTGGTGGAATGGAAGAATAGAGGGAGAATGTATTTTCAAAAAGTTAGATAGAGTGCTCTGTAATCAAGAATTTGAGCAGATTCTTCCTACTAGCAAAGTGCATCATTTAATACGGCAAGGTTCAGATCATGCGCCTTTGCATTTTATTTGTAATTCGGAGGAGGAGTCTATAATTCGACCGTTTAAGTTTCTTAATTTTTGGACGAAACATCCAAAATTTAGGAAAGTGGTAGAGGAGAATTGGAAGGTGGATTTTAAAGGTTCACCGTTTCTGGAATTTCAAGCAAAGATAAAGAAGGTTAAGCAGGCTTTGTCGTGTTGGAGTAAAGAGACTTTTGGGAACATATTTAATCAAGTGCAGACGTTGGAGGAGGAAATAAGAATAAAGGAGATGCAGTTGGAGATTAATCCTTCACCTGGAAATAGACAGGAACTAAGCAGAACAGAAGCAAACTTGAAAAAATATAGATACATGGAGGAGGAATTTTGGAGACAAAAATCAGGGATGAGATGGTTTAAGGATGGCGATAGAAATACAAAGTTTTTTCACAATTATGTGAAAGGATGGAGGAAGAAATTATTCATCCCCGAAATTACTACGGCTCAAGGGGATAATGTGACTGGTAATGAGAACATAGGAGCGGAGGCAGTGTCATTTTTTGAAGATCAATTTAAGGAAACAAATACAAATGATGATGATAGCATGCTTGATTTGATCCCGAGAATTATCACTCCGTTGCAAAATGAAGAGATGGGAATATTGCCTAATAAGGATGAGGTGAAAGAGGTGGTTTTTGCGTTAAATGGGGATAGCACAAGTGGTCCAGATGGTTTTTCAGGGGAATTTTTTTAGAGCTGCTGGGAAATAGTTGGAGAAGATATTACAGAAATGGTGCGAGCTTTCTTTTGTGGGCATCAACTGCCTAGATTTATCACTCACACAAATGTTGTACTGCTGCCAAAAAAGGAGAAAACCAGAAATTTTTCTGACTTGAGACCAGTAAGTCTAAGTACCTTTGTTAACAAAGTTATTTCGAGACTGCTCCATCAAAGAATAACAAAACTGTTACCAAGTCTCATATCTAGAAATCAGTCTGGTTTTGTGAAGGGTAGGAGTATAACATAAAATGTGTTGTTAGCTCAGGAGATAATAAGGGACATAAATATAAGAAAGAATTTTCAGAATGTGGTGGTGAAGCTTGACATGGCTAAAGCATATGATAGAGTGTCATGGTTTTACTTGACCAAAGTGTTAAGAAGATTTGGATTTTCAGAACTGATTATTGACATGGTATGGAGGCTGGTTTCTAACAATTGGTACTCAATTTTGGTGAACGGACAACCATATGGTTTCTTTCACTCCTCAAGGGGATTGAAACAAGGAGATCCTCTATCCCCAACTTTGTTTATCATTGCGGCGGAGGTCTTAGCGAGGGGCTTAAATAAACTCCATGAAGATAAGGAGTTTAAAGGATATGGTATGCCTAAATGGAGCCCTCCCATAAACCATTTATCTTATGCGGATGATACCATACTCTTCTGTTCGGGGGAAAAGAGGTCTATTAAAAAGATGATGGGATTTCTAAAGGATTATGAGAAAATATCAGGCCAAATGATTAGTCTCAATAAGAGTTTTTTTTACCTTCATGATAATACACCTCTGATAGTCGCTATGCGATTAAGAAGAATTACAGGGATCAGACAAGGAAACTTTCCCTTCATATATCTGGGGTGCCCGGTGTTCTATGGTAGAAAAAAGAATGTGTATTATGAGAAATTGTTGATGAAGATACAAAAGAGAATATTATCCTGGCAGAATAAGTGGTTATCATACGGGGGAAAAGTCATTCTCATTACGAGCATATTACAGTCTATGCCACTGTTCCTTCTTTCAGCAATGAATCCGACAAAAAGAATCATGAATCAGTTACATCAGATGTTTGCCAGCTTTTTCTGGAGTAAAGCAGGAGGAACTAGAGGAAAACATTGGGTATCTTGGGAAGAATTATGTTATCCCAAAGAAGAAGGGGGAGTAGGAGTGAGATCATTATATGATGTATCAAAGGCACTGTATAGTAAACTATGGTGGAATTTCAGAACCTCTACTTCTCTATGGAGTACTTATATGTGGACTAAGTATTGTAAGAAACAACATCCGGTATTAGCCACGAGTAGAGGAGCTTCTCACGCATGGAAGAAAATGGTGGAGGTAAGGGAAGAAGTAGAACATAATATTTGGTGGCAACTCAAATCTGGAGAAATGAGTTTTTGGTTTGATAATTGGACAAAACAAGGAGCTTTATATTTTATAGAGGACCATGGTGGAGGGGAGGAAGAGATAGAGGTGAAAAGATTCATTACAAATGGAGAATGGGATATTCAAAAGCTGGGACAAATAGTGTCGAAAGAGATGATCTTGTACATTACGGAATGCATTACCCCCCGTCTGACGGAGGAGGGGGATAAAGCTTGGTGGATGGGAAGTACAAGTGGGGAATTCACAATCAAATCAGCTTTTGATATGCTGCGCTGTAGAAGGGAGAAGGAGGAATGGAGGGTGAATATGTGGGGCAAACAGATTCCTTTTAAGCTTAGTTTTTTACTATGGAGAATTTGGAAGGGAAGGATTGCCACGGAGGAAAATCTTAAAAGGATGGGGGTTACTATAGCATCGAGATGCTATTGTTGTGAAGAGTTTGAGGAGGAAACTATACAACATTTATTTCTAACAGCTCCCATAGCCCAAAAGCTATGGAAGCAGTTTGCTTCATGTGCAGGTATTCAACAACATGGGTGTTTGAAACAGATGATAACAGGATGGTGGGAAGTTAACACTCCTATCAAACTGAAATTCATTTTTCAAGCAATACCAAGCATTATACTATGGGAATTGTGGAAACGGAGAAATGCAAGAAGACATGGATTGGATATAAATTTTTATAAGTTGAAGAGTCAGTGTGTCAACACTATCATACAACTGATAAACATGAAATATCCATGGATTAAAGTTCCTAAAAATTGGGGAGAGATGGTCAAAATACAATTGATTTTTTCAACAAAAAAGTAATTGTAATTTGAAGTTGGAAGAGAGTTTTGATACAATAAAATGCAACACGGATGGAGCTAGTAGAGGGAATCCTAGAGAAAGTGCCTATGCATTTTGCTTAAGGAACGACAAAGGAGATATTGTATATGCGGAGGCAGGGCATTTGGGAAATAGAACGAACATGGAGGCAGAAATATTAGCTGTCTTTAAAGCACTAAGACATTGCAAGAGATATAATTTCAACAATTACATTCTAGAGACAGATTCTCTAAGCATTACAAATATAATTCGAGGTAATTGGAAGGTACCATGGCAGCAGGCAGAGGAAATACTGGAAATAATAGAGTTAATTAGCTCTACACAGGCAAAGATTCAACATGTGTTTCGGGAAGCTAATAAACTAGCAGATAAATTGGCAAATGAAGCATTTGAGCAAACGAATGCAATACAAATACATGTTTTCCAACAGTTATTAGTGGAATGTAGAGGAATTGTGAACATGGATAAAGCAGAAATTCCATCACTACGGATTAAAACAAGGAAGATAACAGTACAAGCAACACATCAGGGGAGGGATCAAAGAGATTAACAAGGAACACAGTTATGCTATGTACATCAAATTTTTCCACTATACAGGCATACATAACTGTGAAGAAAACAATAGTCCTAGCTATGTCAGCTTACAAAAAGCTCCACCAGCAAAAACGCAGTCGATCAAATCAGATATGGAGAGGTTGTCTTGGAATATCTATGTCCGTCTCAAATCAGTGTGGAGTAAGGCAAAAATGAAAAGTATGGAGATGTGCTTACATTTTCCAAGCAATAGCTCAGGACTTGGCATCAGATCCACTGCACCACCGAAGTTTACCACTACAAAGGAAGCCGAGGTCAGGAAGGAAGAGTGATTGGCATTACAACACATAAATGGAGAGAAGGGAAGACTTACAGCTGCGAGCTTCGAATTATCAGAGTAAAGGAGGTCAGGAGATACACATAAATAATTCACAACTTGAGGACATTTTGTTCCTCAAAGCTACTGTGTAAGAGGCGGAGGAGACAAAGAGGATGCAAATGGAAATCTTACTCTCTTTTATAGTATGCCATTTCCCTTTGGATTGGCCCACATTTTTTCATGTTTTTTGTTTCATTCCTTTGGGCCTATTTTACGGGTCTATATTTGTAAATTTTTGGGTTTATTGAAATAAATAAAGGAGCTAACAGCTCCACCAATATTAATTAAAAAAAAAAAAAAAAAGGTGAAACACCAAATGGTAGTGATAACTAAACAATAAAACTAACAGTGATTAAATGAAGTAGATTTAGACATGATTACTTAGACATAAATAATGATGAGGAAGCAATTATCAGTAAAAAAATGGAGCGGACTATTGAGGCTAATGTGATTAAGTTTTAAAAAAATGCAATATGAAACTATGCAAAGGCAATAATACACCCATGTATTAATGGACTAAACTTGAGCATTTTTGCACATAAGCAAAGTAGTAGACCCAATTCACAAAATAATGCTACTGCTTTGAAACAATTTCAGACGTGACTAAGAGATAGATTATTAGCAATTTTCACAACTTAAAATAAAGAAATAGGGCAAGCATAGGCGACATAACATACAAATAACTTAAGCACGATTTTTCACATACTGAGGCATGTATTTAAAGCTAAACAAAAAGGGATTAAAATTTAAACCTTAAGACTATAATCTTTCTAAAATGAGATTCAATAAAAAGAAACCATCAAAGAGAAGAAAAGAAACAACTCATGCTCAATAAGCACATACAAGAATAGGACACCACTGTATTTTGGAATTTTTTTTTAACTCAAACTAAATATGAAACTCGACTAATTTGTCACGTACAAGCTATATTCACCGAACCGTTACATAATAGAAAATATTATTGTAGATCAGATTCAAAAGAGGTACAGGAGAATACAAGTTTCAAGATCCTCAAAGGGGGTATGGATGCGAGGAACATGATCGAAATAAACAACTAGAGATTCAAGACAAACAACAATATGGATAGTAAGTGAACTCAAAATCTTGACGTCTTGATTCATTCATCCAATTTGAGATGGAAGAAAGAAGAGACTGACGTCGAAATCTAAACATTACCACAGATTCATACTAAACAGGAGTAAACTAAGACTAATACTGTCATTTCGAAAAGCTGATCACAACTAGATTATGAAAGCTAAGACAGCAAGAACAGTAATAACAATTAGAAAGTAACTCTCCAACATCTACACACATATTCAAGTCACAATCCACACTAAAGGTGAAACAGTAGACAAAAGAAACCTCAACTCTTATCAATATTCGGAAGCCAACAAACCATTATCGAGGGAGCAAACCGAATTCACACGGGAAAGGAGTGAACTAAAAAAAATTGATTAACTAAACAGAAAAGCTATGCTGATGACTTGAGACCAAACAAAATCGAAACAACCCAAATTTCTATCATTTCAAATAATTCAACAGTTAACATACCAGCATATTGAATATAACCAAAATATGAACTAAAAACAGGGGTTACCTTTTAAGGTGCAGCAAACTGGACAAGAAACGAGCAGGGGAGATCTTCCACCACACGGATTCGAAGCTTGAACAACCAACCAAGAACTTCGAGCTAACTTTGAGCAAGAAACTTCTCGCTTCTTCGAATTAAAAGAAAAGAACCGCCTAAAACTTCTTAAGTATATAATTTGTTCAAAGAAATTCCCACCCTTTTTTACTCTAATTTTTTCAACTAAAAATTTCCCATTTCAATAGTGAATAAAAGCAATTATATAGA